ATCTCAAAATGAAACAGTCCCAAAATATCTTGCAATGTATATTCAATGTACCATATTCTCTGCATTATACACGTGATATTTAGTTACGATATATGTAATTCCTATAGCACCCATTGCTACTGTATGTATATATGCACTATAGGCCTATGGCCTTTTCAGTACGTGAAATAAAGATTGACAATAAAGGGGTTAGTAAAGGGGGTGGGTAAAGGGGGTGGGTAAAGGGGAAGTAATGGGTCGAGTAAAGGGGAGGGGTAAAGGGGCGAGTAAAAGGCAGGGTAAAGGGCGAGTAAAGGGGGTTAGTAATGGGGGTTAGTAAAGTGGGTGAGTAAAGTGGGTGAGTAAAGGGTTGAGTAAAGGGGTTGAGAAAACGGGGTGAGAAAAGGGGGCGAGTAAAGAGTAAGTAAAAGGGCAAAATAAAAGGGTGAGAAAAGGGGACTAAGTACAGGGGTGAGTAAAGTGGTGGGAAAGGGAGTGAGTAAAGGTTGTGAGTTAAGGGGATGGGTAAACAGGTGAATAAAGGGGGTTAGTAATGGTTGTGAGTTAAGGGGATGGGTAAACCGGTGAATAAAGGGGGTAAGTAAAGTGGGTGAGTAAAAGTTGTGTGTTAAGGGGGTGAGTAAACCGGTGAATAAAGGGGGTTAGTAAAGTGGGTGAGTAAAGGGGTAAGCAACGGATTTTAGTAAAGGGGTGAGTAAAGAGGTTAGAAAAGGATTTTAGTAAAGGGTGGGTAAAAAGGATGAGTAAAGGGGTTAGGAAAGGTGGTAAGTAAAGGGGGTGAGTAATTAAGGGGTCAGAAAAGAGGGTACGTAAAGGGTGAGTAAAGGGGTGAGTAAAAGACATGAGTAAAGAGTAGGTAAAAGGGCTAAGTAAAAGGGTGAGAAAAGGGGGGCTAAGTAAAGGTGTGAGTTAAGGGGATGAGTAAATGGGTGAATAAAGGGGGTTAGTTAAGTGGTTGAGTAAAGGGGATTAGTAAAGGGGTTAGTAAAGTGTCGAGTAAAGGGTGAGTAAATGGGTGGGTAAAGGGGTTAACAACGGATTTTAGTAAAGGGGTGAGTAAATGGGTGAGTAAAGGGGTTAACAACGGATTTTAGTAAAGGGGTGAGTAAAGGGTGAGAGAAAAGGGTGTGAGAAAAGGGTGTGAGAAAAGGGTGTGAGTAATGGGAGTGAGTAAATCAAGGTAGTGAGTGGAATTCTGAGCATGAGTCAACCCGTCAGAAAACTTGACATCAACCATTTATCTGAGCCTTACCATCCAACCACCGTTGTCGGCCCTTAAGACAAACAAGGGACTTAAGAGTAGACCCCAATGGGGCTGAGATATTAAATGTGGTCGTAACATGCCACCGTCCAGAATCCCCTGGATGTAGGTGTGGTTCGCAGTTGTTCGGGTATCAGCGTTGTGTGAAATAAGGCTCTTGTGGTGAAGATGAAATTAATAGTTTGAAGATACGAAAAAAGTATTCTTTGTTGCGGAGCAGCCCTCCTGGTAATCATGGCAAACACACCTCAAACCCAACACGATGCAGATGGTGAATGCTGCTGAGAGTTAACAACAATATGTGAGATCATCATGCCGTATCTGAGTGTTTTATAGCATTCATAGAGACCGCCTCCGTGGTCTAGTGGTAGAGCGTCCGCCCGGCCGCGTCATACCAAAAGACGTTAAAAGATGGTACTTGTTGTTACCCTGTCTGGCGCTCGGTATTAAAGGGCTATAACAAGGACTGGTCGGCTGCGGCATAGTATCTCAGTGGGCTAGCACTAAAAATCGGCATCAGTCCGGACTAGTACAAGCACACACACACACACACACACACACACACACACACACACACACACACACACACACACACACACACACACACACACACACACACACACACACACACACACACACACACACACACACACACACACGTGCATGCACGTCGCCATATAAGTGCAGTAATCTTGGACGCGACGTTAAACCCAATTTCACCTCACCCATAGCATTCATGGAGTACTGGACATGGACTGCTGCTACTACTACTACGTGCCATATCAAATCGGCACAGGTTCGGTTTATGAAGGGAAGGCTATCTGAACTACCCATGCATCGAGTTTATGTGCAGTGTGTTGACAAGTACATCAACTCCTTCGTTTGGATGAAGTCGTCTGGCCTGAAAAGTAAAACAGAAGGCTTTCTGTTTGCTTCTCAGGACCAGTCACTTCCAACTCGAAACCGTCAATGTGTTATTTTGCATCAAAATGTGAATATGAAATGTAGATTATGTAATGAATTTAACGAGACATTGTGAGTGGATGCCTAACTTTTTCACAGACACACTATCGTAAGCGACATGGTGGTGTAGCTGAATCATTTTATTACCGTCTTCGCCATGCTTGTAACTTTGACACAGAGGTCCATCCATGGTACGACCCGGAATATGAGGGCGTCATGGAAAATGATAAATACAAAATCCTTTGGAATAGGCCCGTATACACCCTCGGACATATCCAGGCCAACAAGCCTTATCTTGTCCTTTTTGATAAATCCAATGAAATCATTTATATCATTGAATTTATTTTCTGTCCCTTTTGACACTAATATGATTGACAAGATTGAGGAAAAACATGGCAAATATGCAGACCTCGCTTTCGAAATGTCACGCTTGCATCCTAAGTACCAAGCTGTCCGACTCCCCATTGTTCTCGGTGCCTTAGGTTTGGTACCTCCCAATCTGTTGACTGACAATGGGAGAGTACCCGGGTTTGCTACCAGGATTACAGCCCTTCTGACAATCTGGGTAATGCAGAAGGCTGCAGTGTTGGGGAGTCTTCACATTCTCCGAAAAGTTCTGGGTGGGTTTGACAAGGCAGCGCTTCCTGGGAGAAGTCCCATTCGCTATCTGGGCTGCGTGTAGAGGGCCCTGAACTGATGATGAGCCTAACCAGCCTGACTGTGCCAGGATCACCCAAACCCTCTTTGCTGCATTTTTTATTTTAATCTGTAAATAATAAGTAACTAATAATACTGGTTGTTGTCCTTTACGTTATTTTGAATAGAAGAAAATAAACATTACCGAGTCTGTGGCTATTCAATAACACATGTCTGAACATGTATATTGGGAATAAAGATACTGCTTCTGTCATCTCATCTCATATTTTTTATCATTTCTTTTCATGACAAAAATATGTCGCCCTACTGGGTAACATACGTGCATTGATATTCAAAGGCACCCGGTTGTGCAACACGCATGGCAACAAGAGGACTACATTTCTATTGCAATTATTTCCCCTCAGTACATCCTTTATGCTCTGGAAATGTGTGATACGTGTTTGTCCTATAAAATCGTACACACTTTCCGAACAAAAATGGTTGGTGAGATGACTATGGTAAATTTACAGCAATTGAAAAGAATCAACCGACCATATGATGTTCAAAAGCTTAAAAAAACCCATATTGACATGACAACGAACATTATGGTATATAAGAATACAAAACTGCCAGCTTCGTTACCCTAGGTACATTCTTCTTGGTGCCTTAGGTTTGGCACCTCCCAATCTGTTGACTGACATTGGGAGCGTACCCGGGTTTGCTACCAGGAATACAGCCCTTCTGACAATCTGGGTAATGCAGAAGGCTGCAGTGTTGGGGAGTCTTCACATTCTCCGAAAAGTTCTGGGTGGGTTTGACTTGGCAGCGCTTCCTGGGAGAAGTCCCATTCGCTGCCAAGGGCCCTGAGCTGATGATTAGCCTAACCCGCCTGACTGTGCCAGGATCACCCAGACCCTCTTTGCTGCATTTTTTATTTTAATCTGTAAATAATAAGTAACTAATAATACTGGTTGTTGTCCTTTACGTTATTTTGAATAGAAGACAATAAACATTACCGAGTCTGTGGCTATTCAATAACACATGTCTGAACATGTATATTGGGAATAAAGATACTGCTTCTGTCATTTCCATCTCATATTTTTTATCATTTTTTTTCATGACAAAAATATGTCGCCCTACCGGGTAACATGCGTGCATTGATATTCAAAGGCACCCGGTTGTGCAACACGCATGGCAACAAGAGGACTACATTTCTATTGCAATTATTTCACCTCAGTACATCCTTTATGCTCTGGAAATGTGTGATACGTGTTTGTCCTATAAAATCGTACACACTTTCCGAACAAAAATGGTTGGTGAGATGACTATGGTAAATTTACAGCAATTGAAAAGAATCAACCGACCAAATGATATTCAAAAGCTTAAAAAACCCATATTGACATGACAACGAACATTATGGTATATAAGAATACTAAACTGCCAGCTTTGTTACCCTAGGCACATTGGCTCGGTGCCTTAGGTTTGGCACCTCCCAATCTGTTGACTGACATTGGGAGCGTACCCGGGTTTGCTACCAGGAATACAGCCCTTCTGACAATCTGGGTAATGCAGAAGGCTGCAGTGTTGGGGAGTCTTCACATTCTCCGAAAAGTTCTCGGTGGGTTTGACTTGCCAGCGCCTCCTGGGGGAAGTCCCATTCGCTGTCTGGGCTGTGTGTAGAGGGGGCAAGGGCCCTGAGCTGATGATGAGCCTAACCAGCCTGACTGTGCCAGGATCACCCAAACCCTTTTTGCGGCATTTTATATTTTAATCTGTGCATAACAATAATCACAATGAAAGATAAATTATTGTTGTTATCGTATCAGCATAACTACAACTGATAATACAGGTTGTTGTCCTTTACGTTTTTTGAATAGAAGACAATAGACATTACCGAGTCTGTGGCTATCTAATTACACATGTCTGAACATGTTATTTGTCGCCCTTCCAGGCTACACACGTGTATTAATATTCAAAGGCCACATGCAACATGCATGACAACAAGAGGACTACATGTCTACGGGGTACACTGCTACCCCCGATAATGGAGCGAAACAAACAAATCAAGGGGGTGATTACTCCTTATACTTCAGCCCTGATAACCCAGCTCATGCACTCAATCTTAATTGCTTTGTTCTAGTCAGGACAGCATGGTTCGTTCCCTTGAGAAGCAGCTCTCAGAGACGGTGGGCCTTGACACAGAGATTGACTACAAAACGTTCAAGAGGAGCCTCAAAGTTAGAGATGTGAGTGAGTCAGGTTCATCCCGTGTGTGAGTGAGTGAGTCAGCTTTCCCTTGTATGTGAGTGATTGTGTGAGTCAGCTTTGCCTTGACTGAGAGTGATTGAGTAAGTCAGCTTTGCCTTGACTGAGAGTGATTGAGTGGGTCAGCTTCCTCTTGTCTGTTAGTGAGTGGTCTGCTTTCCCTTGTCTGTGAGTAATTGAGTGAGTCAGCTTTCCCTTGTCTGTGGGGGAGTCAGCTTTCCCTTGTCTGTGAGTGATTGAGTGAGTCAGCTTTCTCTTGTCTGTAAGTGATTGAGTGAGTCAGCTTTCCCTTGTCTGTAAGTGATTGAGTGAGTCAGCTTTCCCTTGTCTGTGAGTGATTAAGTGAGTCAGCTTTCCCTTGTCTGTGAGTAATTGAGTGAGTCCGCTTTCCCTTGTCTGTGGGTGAGTCAGCTTTCCCTTGTCTGTAAGTGACTGTGTGAGTCATCTTTCCCTTGTCTAAGAGTGATTGAGTGAGTTAGTCAGCTTTCCCTTGTCTGTAAGTGATTGAGTGAGTTAGTCAGCTTTCCCTTGTCTGTCAGTGATTGTGTGAGTCAGATTTCCCTTGTCTTTGAGTTATGGAGTTAGTCAGCTTTCCTTTGTCTGTGAGTTATTGTGTGAGTCAGCTTTCCCTTGTCTGTTGGTAATTGTGTTAGTCAGCTTTCCCTTGTCTGTGAGTGAGTCAGCTTTCCCTTGTCTGTGAGTGATTGTGTGAGTCAGCTGTCCCTTGTCTGTAATCGATTGTGTGTGTCTGTGAGTGATGGAGTGGGTCAGATTTCCCTTGTCTGTGAGTGACTGAGTGAGTCGGCTTTCCCCTGTCTGCTTGTGATTTAGTGAGTCAGCTTTCCCGTATCTGTGAGTGAGTGAGTGGGTCAGCTTTCCCTTGTCTGTGATTGAGTGAGTCAGCTTTCCCTTGTCTGTGAGTGATTCTTTGAGACATCTTTCTCTTGTCTGTCAGTGAGTGAGTGGGTCTGCTTTCCCTTGTCTGTGAGTGAATGAGTGGGTCTGCTTTCCCTTGTCTGTCAGTTAGTGAGTGGGTCAGCTGTCCCTTGTCTGTAAGTGATTGTGTGTGTCAGCTTTTTCTTTTCTGTGAGTGATGGAGTGGGTCAGATTTCCCTTGTCTGTGAGTGACTGAGTGAGTCGGCTTTCCCCTGTCTGCTTGTGATTGAGTGAGTCAGCTTTCCCGTATCTGTGAGTGAGTGAGTGGGTCAGCTTTCCCTTGTCTGTGATTGAGTGAGTGGGTCAGCTTTCCCTTGTCTGTGAGTGATTGAGTGAGTGGGTCAGCTTTCCCTTGTCTGTCAGTGAGTGAGTGGGTCTGCTTTCCCTTGTCTGTGAGTTAGTGAGTGGGTCAGCTTTCCCTTGTCTGTGAGTGAGTGAGTGGGTCTGCTTTCCCTTGTCTGTGAGTGAATGAGCGAGTCAGCTGTCCCTTGTCTGTGAGTGAGTGAGTGGGTCAGCTTTCCCTTGTCTGTTGGTGATTGTGTTAGTCAGCGTTCCCTTGTCTGTAAGTGATTGTGTGTGTCAGCTTTTCCTTGTCTGCGAGTGATGGAGTTGGTCAGATTTCCCTTGTCTGTGAGTGACTGAGTGAGTCAGCTTTCCCCTGTCTGTTTGTGATTGAGTGAGTCAGCTTTCCCTAGTGTGTGATTGTGTGAGTCACCTTTCTCCTGTTTGTGTGTGGGTGAGTGAGTGGGTCTGCTTTCCTTTGTCTGTGAGTGATTCTTTGAGACATCTTTTTCTTGTCTGTCAGTGAATGTGTGAGTCAGCTTTCCCTTGTCTGTGAGTGATTGTGTGAGTCAGCTTTCCCTAGTGCGTGATTGTGTGAGTCACCTCCCCCCTGTTTGTGTGTGAGTGAGTGGGTCTGCTTTCCCTTGTCTGTGAGTGATTTTGTGAGTCAGATTTCCCTTGTCTGTCAGTGATTCTTTGAGACATCTTTTTCTTGTCTGTCAGTGAATGTGTGAGTCAGCTTTCCTTTGTCTGTGAGTGATTGTGTGAGTCAGCTTTCCCTTGTCTGTCAGTGATTCTTTGAGACATCTTTTTCTTGTCTGTCAGTGAATGTGTGAGTCAGCTGTCCCTTGTCAGTAAGTGAGTGAGTGGGTCTGCTTTCCCTTGTCTGTAAGAGATTGTGTGTCAGCTTTTCCTTGTCTGTGAGTGATGGAGTTGGTCAGATTTCCCTTGTCTGTGAGTGACTGAGTGAGTCAGCTTTCCCTAGTGTGTGATTGTGTGAGTCAGCTTTCCCCTGTTTGTGTGTGAGTGAGTGGGTCTGCTTTCCCTTGTCTGTGAATGATTTAGTGAGTCAGATTTCCCTTGTTTTTGAGTTAGTCAGCGTTCCCTTGTCTGTAAGTGATTGTGTGTGTCAGCTTTTCCTTGTCTGCGAGTGATGGAGTTGGTCAGATTTCCCTTGTCTGTGAGTGACTGAGTGAGTCAGCTTTCCCCTGTCTGTTTGTGATTGAGTGAGTCAGCTTTCCCTAGTGTGTGATTGTGTGAGTCACCTTTCTCCTGTTTGTGTGTGAGTGAGTGAGTGGGTCTGCTTTCCTTTGTCTGTGAGTGATTCTTTGAGACATCTTTTTCTTGTCTGTCAGTGAATGTGTGAGTCAGCTTTCCCTTGTCTGTGAGTGATTGTGTGAGTCAGCTTTCCCTAGTGCGTGATTGTGTGAGTCACCTCCCCCCTGTTTGTGTGTGAGTGAGTGGGTCTGCTTTCCCTTGTCTGTGAGTGATTTTGTGAGTCAGATTTTCCTTGTCTTTGAGTTAGTCAGCTTTCCTTTGTCTGTGAGTGATTGTGTGAGTCAGCTTTCCCTTGTCTGTCAGTGATTCTTTGAGACATCTTTTTCTTGTCTGTCAGTGAATGTGTGAGTCAGCTGTCCCTTGTCAGTAAGTGAGTGAGTGGGTCTGCTTTCCCTTGTCTGTAAGAGATTGTGTGTCAGCTTTTCCTTGTCTGTGAGTGATGGAGTTGGTCAGATTTCCCTTGTCTGTGAGTGACTGAGTGAGTCAGCTTTCCCTAGTGTGTGATTGTGTGAGTCAGCTTTCCCCTGTTTGTGTGTGAGTGAGTGGGTCTGCTTTCCCTTGTCTGTGAATGATTTAGTGAGTCAGATTTCCCTTGTTTTTGAGTTAGTCAGCTTCCCTTTGTCTGTGATTGATTGTGTGAGTCAGCTTTCCCTTGTCTGTGACTGATTGAGTGAGTCAGCTTTCCGTTGTCTGTTAGTGATTGTGTGAGTCAGCTTTCCCTTGTCTGTGAGTGATTGAGTGAGTGAGTCAGCTTTCCCTTGTCAGAGAGCCAATCAGCTTTCCCTTTGCTGTTAGTGAGTGCGAGATTTTCGATGATGTTATATTTGTTTTAGGCGTTTACAACTTCGGTGAAAACCACTTGCTATGGCGATGATAACATTATCAGGGCTGACATGGATTTGAACCAACGATCATAGATTTCATGCTCACCTAAGGGTCGAAAATATGCGCTGAAATTTGTCCACATTTTAAAACATCCCCAAAAAGGTCCCATCCTCCTTTTACGTGAAATACAGAGGCCAGAAACCAGTGAGTGTGGGTTAATACCGGTTTGTGGGTTTCACCAAAGTGGAAAACGCCTGAGACCGGCTTCACTTCGGGCTTTCCTCCCACATTAAGCTGACACGCTGTTATCTGCTGTTAAAAGCGACGTTAAACCTAACTCATCCACACCCGCGGATAATATAGTCGTCCATAGTAATGGGAAAGCAACAGTCAAATATAGATCGGTGACATTCCGCCCTGAGTGTGTGAGTGAGTGAGTTGGGTTTAACGCCGCTTTTAACAGTATTCCAGTTATATCACGGCGTGTCAGCTTAATGTGGGAGAAAAGGGCGAAGTGATGCAGGTCCAGGACCACTTCCGTGAAACCCACGAGCACGGATATGGTGCTGGCAAACCTAGAAACACAATCGGGGCGAACCGGTATTCGAACCCACAATCATAGGTTTCTGGCGTGCCCAAGGGACGCAACTTTGCACAGCGAATTACAGCGCCTTAGACGACTTGGCCACCCGTGCCCCCAATTCCGCCCTGAAATGGTTAACAGACAAAAGAGGGAAACACACATTGAATTGATTTGTAATCCAGATCATGAAACAATCCCCTTTGCAATTAGCTAGAGACAACGACGTGTTGAAGAAACAAACCATTTTTATTGAAACCCACGAGCACAGGTATTGTGCTGACAAACTTAGAATCAAAATCAAGGCGAACCAAGATTCGAACCCACGATTGACATCATGAGTATCGATCCTCGCAATTGGGATACGATGACATGCATCATCCAAGTCAGCGAGCCTGACTACTCGATCCCGTTACGACAAGCATAGTCGCCTTTTACGGCAAGCATGGGTTGCTGAAGACCTATTCTAAACAAACCTGGAGCTCTGAGGTGGAAAATTCCAAAAAAAGTGTAGTCTATTCTCTCTTGAAACCACAATTTGAATTAGAAAATTATCTGACGTCCCTACCCCTAAATAAAGCTATCCCTCTTCTTTTATTTCGTACTTCATGCCACCACTTACCAATTGAAAAAGGAAGATGGAATAGGATACCTATTTGTGAAAGAAAATGTAAACTGTGTTTTATTGATGATATTGGAGATGAATTTCACTATATTTTTAAATGTCCATATTTTACTAAAGAAAGAATTTTGTATATTCCACCTACATATTCTAAAAGACCTAATATGATTAAATTTCAAAGACTTTTCACTTGTAAAGAGATATCTGTATTAAAAAACCTTAGTAAATTCTGTAAATATGTAATGCAAATTGTAAAATCTTCCGGCTAACCGCATATCCGCTATTATAATGTGTATTTTGCTGTCATTTTGTACCTCATATGCCGAGGATCTCGCCCTTAGCGTAATAAAGTTCTGTTCTGTTCTAACCCGGATCTTCACGGGTCCAACAACTGATATTAATTGCTGACTAGGCTGACTAGGCGGAGTTTCATGTTTCTGTTATTGGCGTTGTCTCCTCTTTCAGTCTTTCTTCGCCAGACGGTTCTTCAAGTTGTTTGACACTGACAAGAGCGAGACTGTGGATGTGGCAGAAATGCTGGGTGCTATAAGACGCTTGAGGGATGGAACATCGACAGAAAAGCTCAAATTTCTCTTTGACGTTTACGATGAGAGCGGTAGGTGTGACCCACTTTGAGGGCTGTCGTATGCGGTACCTACCTTCACTTAGAGCAATAGGCATCATTGCTTTCTTGAGATGAGATTTACTATATCACTTTGATTGAGGATGTAGGTGTTATCTCCCTTTGTCGAGAGTGGTAGGTGTTATCTCCCTTTGATGAGATAAGTTTTACCAGACAGAGATAGATGTAACATCAATTTGACGAGAGTGGCAGGTGTTATCTCCCTTTGACGAGAGTGGTAGGTGTTATCTCCCTTTGATGAGAGCGGTAGGTGTTACCTCCCTTTGATGAGAGTGGTAGGTGTTACCTCCCTTTAACGAGAGTGGCAGGTGTTATCTCCCTTTGACGAGAGTGGTAGGTGTTATCTCCCTTTGACGAGAGTGGCAGGTGTTATCTCCCTTTGACGAGAGTGGTAGGTGTTACCTCCCTTCGATGAGAGCAATAAGCCTCCCTTTAATGAAGGTAGTGCTTTCGTAGATGATGTTGTACAGTTAAGTCACCCACCCTACAGCCCAGACTTAGCCCCCGGTGTCGTTTCCTGTCCCGGCAAATGAAATCTGCCCAACGTGGAAGACGCTTCCAGGATGACGAGGACATAAAGCAGCCACAGAGGCGTGGTTAGAGGACCAATCTGCGGATTTCTATAAAAGTGGTATTGAAAGCTTGGAGGACAAATGGAATAAGTGTATTCAGGTGAAATGAGATTTTATTGCAAAAATAAAAGTGCAAAAGATATTCTGCGACTTGGTCATATATTGAAGTTGCAAAACTTATTGACCCCCCCCCCCCCTCGTAGGTGGACGAAACTTTTTATGAAAGTGGTATGTGTTACCTCTCTGTGACTGCAGCCATAAGTGTTGACTCGATGTATCCGACATCTGATGAAATCGTTGTAAGTGTAATCTCCCTTAGATGAGATAGCTGTTACACCACTTTGACTGGAGTGGTAGGTGTAACTTCCCTTTGATTAGAGATGTAAGTGGTATCGCCCTTTGATAAGATAGCTGTGACACCACTTTGACTGGAGTGGTACCTCCCTTTGATGATAGTAATAAGATTTACTTACGTTGAGTAACGGTTCCCGTGACGCATATATACAGTAAACTACGGTTATAACGAACTCAAAGGGACTACTATTTTTAGTTCGTTATAACCGTAGTTCGTTATAAGCAGATATACAGCATAACCACAGCCAATAGTCGGGACTAAAAAGTAAGTTCGTTATATCAGTCAGTTCGTTATAAGCGTGTTCGTTATAACCGTTGTTTACTGTATGATGCTGTTGTATAAGAGACACAGAAAAGGAAATAGTTTTATCATATTTGTCAACTGATATCATAACATTAATCGTAGCCTTTTAAAACGATTTAAACTTAGGGTCAGATGAGCATACGGACTTTGTATTTTCATGTTCGTCAAAAAACAAAAGAACTGTTGCAAAGTGTGATGATGTCTATTTAACCATCACCCATTCCTGCAACAGTTTGTAAAAAATATTTTGTGGCTGGGTAATTTTGTGTATAACAATTATATCTTCAATGAAGACTGCGGTAAGAACTGAATTTGTAACCACATGATCGATATCTCTACTATGTTTGAAGTGTTGCAAATTTGTGCCGAAAAGAGCATTTTCTTATAGATAAGATAAAACGTTTACGATGTCCATCGGCAGTTGTGCAGTGTGAGCCTTTTTTTACTTTTTACTACTTTAAAAAAAATCAAGCTATAAATAAAATATACAACCATGTAGAAGTATTCTTTAAGTGCTGCCTAAGCGTCAGTACAGTTCATCTTGTGGATATAGTATCGGTAACTTAAGATATTAATACCGAAACAAAAAAAGCTGAAAGGAATTATATCTTGCTCATACCTGAATGAGTTTGAGTTACCATGTTGATGTACGTGTCATTTGTTGTAATGTGTCTTAACTTGTTGTACTCGGCAATGTTCCAGCCACACGGGCGGGCTTTTGAATATGAATTGTCAATGCAAGAGAAGAACTTGTCCAGATTATCCCCCTAAACAGATTCCATGTGACACAAAGTGCAAAATAGCTGTGACAGTTGTATGAATGGACCATTGAAAATTAGTGATGATACCAGGTGTTTGTGAAAAAGGTAAATAATCGAGGCTGGACGAGAAAACCCCGTGATTGATATTGCGAACAACGACACACTACGTCGGGATACGATGCAACGCCCTCAACCAAGTCACCGAGTCTGACAAACCAATCCATCAAGTCGCCTGTTCTCCTGTTCTAACGTGTGTCGTCGTCGTAGTGGTAGTGGCAGAGGTAGTTGTAGTGGCAGTGAAAGTGGTTGTAGTAGTGGCATAACATTCCTTAATAAACACTCCAGCAACGATCAACCCCCTCCCCTCCCCTCCAGGTGATATCAAAATGATGTGTACACTGGTTTACGTCCTGTGTGATAGTTAGGTGACGGTTATATTAACGTACACTGTTCTTCCTTCTAGGTGATGGTTATATCGATATGATGTATACACTGTTCTTCTTTCAAGGTTGTGGTTATATCGGCATAATGTATTCACTGTTCTTCTTTCAAGGTGACGGTTATATCGACATGATTTTTATACTGTTCTTCCTTCTAGGTGATGGTTATATCGATATGATGTATACACTGTTCTTCTTTCAAGGTTGTGGTTATATCGGCATAATGTATTCACTGTTCTTCTTTCAAGGTGACGGTTATATCGACATGATGTATACACTGTTCTTCCTTCTAGGTGATGGTTATATCGGCATAATGTATTCACTGTTCTTCCTTCAACGTGATGGTTATATCGACATGATGTATACACTGTTCCTCCTTCTGATGATGGTTATATCGACATGGTGTATACACTGTTCCTCCTTCTAGGTGATGGTTATATCGACATGTTGTATACACTGTTCCTCCTTCTAGGTGATGGTTATATCGACATGACGTATACACTGTTCTTCCTTCTTGGTGATGGTTATATCGACATTGTGTACACGCTGTCTTCCTTCTATGTGATGGTTATATCGGCATGGTGAATACACTGTTCCTCCTTCTAGGTTATGGTTATATCGACATGGTGTATACACTGTTCTTCTTTCTTGGTGATGGTTATATCGACATGGTGTATACACTGTTCTTCCTTCCAGGTGATGGTTATATCGACATGGTGTATATACTGTGCTTCCTACCAGGCGATGGTTATATCGACATGGAGTATACACTGTTCTTCCTTCTAGGTTATGGTTATATCGACATGATGTATACACTGTTCTTCTTTTGAGGTGATACTTATATCGACATGATGTAAACACTGTTCTTCCTTCCAGGTGATGGTTATATCGACATGGTGTATATACTGTGCTTCCTACCAGGCGATGGTTATATCAACATGGTGTATACACTGTTCTTCCTTCTAGGTGATGGTTATATCGACATGTTGTAGACACTGTCCTTCCTTCTAGATGATAGTTATATCGACATGGTGTATACGCTGTCTTCCTTCAATGTGATGGTTATATCGACATGGTGTATACACTGTTCTTCCTTCTAGGTGATGGTTATATCGACATGGTGTATAGACTGTTCTTCCTTCTAGGTGATGGTTATATCGATATGATGTATACACTGTTCTTCCTTCGATGTGATGGTTATATCGGCATGGTGAATACACTGTTCTTCCTTCTAGGTGATGGTTATATCGACATGGTGTATATACTGTTCTTCCTTCTAGGTGATGGTTATATCGATATGATGTATACACTGTTCTTACTTCGATGTGATGGTTATATCGGCATGGTGAATACACTGTTCCTCCTTCTAGCTTATGGTTATATCGACATGATGTATACACTGTTCTTCTTTCGAGATGATAGTTATATCGACATGGTGTAAACACTGTTCTTCCTTCCAGGTGATGGTTTTATCGACATGGTGTATATACTGTGCTTCCTACCAGGCGATGGTTATATCGACATGGTGTATACACTGTTCTTCCTTCTAGGTGATGGTTATATCGACATGGTGTATATACTGTTCTTCCTTCTAGGTGATGGTTATATCGACATGGTGTATACACTGTTCTTCCTTCTAGGTGATGGTTATATCGACATGGTGTATACACTGTTCTTCCTTCCAGGTGATGGTTATATCGACATGTTGTATACGTTGTTCTTCCTTCCAGGTGACGGTTATATAGACATGCTGTATAAACTGTTCATCCTTCTAGGTGATGGTTATATCGACATGGTGTATACACTGCTCTTCCTTCCAGGTGATGGTTATATCGACATGTTGTATACGTTGTTCTTCCTTCCAGGTGATGGTTATATCGGCATAATGTATTCACTGTTCTTCCTTCAACGTGATGGTTATATCGACATGATGTATACACTGTTCCTCCTTCTGATGATGGTTATATCGACATGGTGTATACGCTGTTCCTCCTTCTAGGTGATGGTTATATCGACATGTTGTATACACTGTTCCTCCTTCTAGGTGATGGTTATATCGACATGATGTATACACTGTTCTTCCTTCTTGGTGATGGTTATATCGACATTGTGTACACGCTGTCTTCCTTCTATGTGATGGTTATATCGGCATGGTGAATACACTGTTCCTCCTTCTAGGTTATGGTTATATCGACATGGTGTATACACTGTTCTTCTTTCTTGGTGATGGTTATATCGACATGGTGTATACACTGTTCTTCCTTCCAGGTGATGGTTATATCGACATGGTGTATATACTGTGCTTCCTACCAGGCGATGGTTATATCGACATGGAGTATACACTGTTCTTCCTTCTAGGTTATGGTTATATCGACATGATGTATACACTGTTCTTCTTTTGAGGTGATACTTATATCGACATGATGTAAACACTGTTCTTCCTTCCAGGTGATGGTTATATCGACATGGTGTATATACTGTGCTTCCTACCAGGCGATGGTTATATCAACATGGTGTATACACTGTTCTTCCTTCTAGGTGATGGTTATATCGACATGTTGTAGACACTGTCCTTCCTTCTAGATGATAGTTATATCGACATGGTGTATACGCTGTCTTCCTTCAATGTGATGGTTATATCGACATGGTGTATACACTGTTCTTCCTTCTAGGTGATGGTTATATCGACATGGTGTATAGACTGTTCTTCCTTCTAGGTGATGGTTATATCGATATGATGTATACACTGTTCTTCCTTCGATGTGATGGTTATATCGGCATGGTGAATACACTGTTCTTCCTTCTAGGTGATGGTTATATCGACATGGTGTATATACTGTTCTTCCTTCTAGGTGATGGTTATATCGATATGATGTATACACTGTTCTTACTTCGATGTGATGGTTATATCGGCATGGTGAATACACTGTTCCTCCTTCTAGCTTATGGTTATATCGACATGATGTATACACTGTTCTTCTTTCGAGATGACAGTTATATCGACATGGTGTAAACACTGTTCTTCCTTCCAGGTGATGGTTTTATCGACATGGTGTATATACTGTGCTTCCTACCAGGCGATGGTTATATCGACATGGTGTATACACTGTTCTTCCTTCTAGGTGATGGTTATATCGACATGGTGTATATACTGTTCTTCCTTCTAGGTGATGGTTATATCGACATGGTGTATACACTGTTCTTCCTTCTAGGTGATGGTTATATCGACATGGTGTATACACTGTTCTTCCTTCCAGGTGATGGTTATATCGACATGTTGTATACGTTGTTCTTCCTTCCAGGTGACGGTTATATAGACATGCTGTATAAACTGTTCATCCTTCTAGGTGATGGTTATATCGACATGGTGTATACACTGCTCTTCCTTCCAGGTGATGGTTATATCGACATGTTGTATACGTTGTTCTTCCTTCCAGGTGATGGTTATATCGACATGGTGCATACACTGTTCTTCCTTCTAGGTGATGGTTATATCGGCATGGTGTATACACTGTTCTTCCTTCTATGTGATGGTTATATCGACATGGTGTATACACTGTTCTTCCTTCCAGGTGATGGTTATATCGACATGTTGTATACGTTGTTCTTCCTTCCAGGTGATGGTTATATCGACATGTTGTATACACTGTTCTTCCTTTTAGGTGATGGTTTTATCGACATCGAGGAGTTACGGACGGCGTTGCGGTCGTGTATGGTGGAGAGCTCGGTGAAACTGGGAGAGGAGGAACTGGACATGCTGACTCAGGCATTATTTGAGGACGCAGATGAAGACAACAGCGGAGAAATTTCGTTTGAAGAACTTGAATCTGTTATGGATAAGAATCCTGGAGTGAAGGAAAACCTGTGTCTCAGGTGAGAGGGTGTCACACGTAGGAGCCCTTGTCACAAATGATCACACATATGTCTGTTATACTACTATTAATACATGCACATTAACATAAAAAAATGATGAGGATGGAGAATGGCCCATTGGTCGAAATTGCAAATCCGTGCCTTCATCAGATTGACCCGAGTTCGAATCCGACATTTGCACACATCCTTATCATTTGTATGTCATGTAAGTAAGTGAGTGAATGACTATAAATTAGTTATATCAGGGCATGTCAGCTTGGTGTTAAAAGAAAGACCTATATTCACAAATTCACAATTGAACCTTACCCCAACGTCTGTTCTGTGATAAAATGGTCGGGATTGCTTAACAATAAATATATCAATACATTGTTGAATGTCTGATGCATGTGAAAACATATATATATTGTCATATTGTCATATTGTCCCGGAACCCTAGCTTCACAATATGTGAGGCCTGTATGCATGAAATACTGATGGAAATAAATAGTTTCAGACACAGTAAAATTATAGCTATCATGGGTTCCCAACCTTGTCTTCCACATTTGGGGATTGAAACAATGCACACAAACACATCTCAACATTTGATTCAGAAACGTACTGACAGTAAAACTTACTTCCCTTATTGTTTCCTTATTCGTTTCCATCAGTATAATAATTCTTGAAGATCGCAGTTCTACTAGCTATTTCCTCTACAGTGTCGAACAATGGTTGCTACCCCCGCCAGCGAAAAAGAAAAGTTCATGGTATGACCACTATTTCTCGAAGTCATACATCTTCAACAACCTCCGGAAGCTAGCCTTCCTTGCCTTTTTGATGCTCCTCAACTGCATCTTGTTTGCTGTGGGCTGCTGGAACTACCGGACATCCAACTGGTGCATCATAGTAGCCAGAGGATGCGGCCTCTGTCTCAACTTCGACTGCACCTTCATAGTTGTTCTCATGCTCCGGAAGTGCATCACCTGGCTGCGTGCGACGCCTGTTGGTCACCTGCTTCCGCTGGACCAGAACATTTTATTCCACAAGTTGACAGGCATCTTGATAATGCTGTTTACCGTTCTTCATACTGCCATGCATATTGGAAATGCAAGTAAGTTGATAAAACAACACTACATAATTCTCTCAACATTTAGATAAAAAAAACATAACTCAGAAAAATAGCTCATTTTATTTATACGATCCATTTGGTGTTTTGAAACAAACAAAATAGACCCATGCAATGACATTTTTTGAAAGGACTGAAATACGGTCGATTTTCTATTTGACGGGATGATTTGGAAAGAGGTAGTACTTTGTCATGTCCTTGTGTTTGAGTGTGTCTCTGACTTCAATCCCAGCCATTATACCGGAGACTTAGTTCAAGCTGACAGTGTCTGTATTTATGTTTGTTGAAGTCATGGTAGCCAAGACTCAGTTCAACCTGACAGTGTCTGTATTTATCTTTGTTGCAGTCATGGTAGCCGAGAGTCAGTTCAACCTGACAGTGCCTGTATTTATGTTTGTTGCAGTCATGGTAGCTGAGAGTCAGTACAACCTGACAGTGTCTGCCTTTATGTTTGTTACAGTCATGGTAGCTGAGAGTCAGTTCAACCTGACAGTGTCTGTCTTTATGTTTGTTACAGTCATGGTAGCTGAGAGTCAGTACAACCTGACAGTGTCTGTCTTTATGTTTGTTACAGTCATGGTAGCTGAGAGTCAGTACAACCTGACAGTGTCTGTCTTTATGTTTGTTGCAGTCATGGTAGCCGAGAGTCAGTTCAACCTGACAGTGCCTGTCTTTATGTTTGTTGCAGTCATGGTAGCCGAGAGTCAGTTCAACCTGACAGTGCCTGCCTTTATGTTTGTTGCAGTCATGGTAGCTGAGAGTCAGTTCAACCTGACAGTGTCTGTATTTATGTTTGTTACAGTCATGGTAGCCGAGAGTCAGTTCAACCTGACAGTACCTGTCTCTATGTTTGTTGCAGTCATGGTAGCCGAGAGTCAGTTCAACCTGACAGTGCCTGTCTTTATGTTTGTTGCAGTCATGGTAGCCGAGAGTCAGTACAACCTGACAGTGCCTGTATTTATGTTTGTTGCAGCCATGGTAGCCGAGAGTCAGTTCAACCTGACAGTGCCTGCCTTTATGTTTGTTGCAGTCATGGTAGCTGAGAGTCAGTTCAACCTGACAGTGTCTGTCTTTATGTTTGTTACAGTCATGGTAGCCGAGAGTCAGTTCAACCTGACAGTGCCTGTATTTATGTTTGTTGCAGTCATGGTAGCCGAGAGTCAGTTCAACCTGACAGTGTCTGTATTTATCTTTGTTACAGTCATGGTAGCCGAGAGTCAGTTCAACCTGACAGTGCCTGTCTTTATCTTTGTTGCAGTCATGGTAGCCGAGAGTCAGTACAACCTGACAGTGCCTGTCTTTATCTTTGTTGCAGTCATGGTAGCCGAGAGTCAGTTCAACCTGACAGTGCCTGTCTTTATGTTTGTTGCAGTCATGGTAGCTGAGAGTCAGTTCAACCTGACAGTGTCTGTATTTATCTTTGTTACAGTCATGGTAGCCGAGAGTCAGTACAACCTGACAGTGCCTGCCTTCATCTTCACCACAGAAGCGGACATTGGCTGGGTGGCCGGCTTCGCTCCTCTCTCTGGTGTTCTGCTTGTCGTCGTCTTCGTCATCATGTTCATCTGCTCCATGCCCTTCGTCAGGAAGAGCGGACATTTTCAGGTAACGTGATAACTGGTGAAGATTTTCAATGATATTTTCCAGCAGATGGTCTCATGAACCATAAGACAATGCTGTTCAGAGGTTATCCGTCAATTTATAAGAGATGCCCATCTACCAAATTATTTAAGTCAAAGAAATACGTCAAAAGCTTGTATTCGTGAACAATGTACCCTCACCACATAATGAAGAAAGAACGAGAAGGCGTGCATTCGTGAGGACACGGGGTGTAATATTTATCACGAATACATGCTATTGGCGTCTTTCTTTGACATAAATAATGTGTTTGATGGGCATTTGTTTTTGTTTTTTAAAACTTTATTTCTGTTGCATTTTTACACATGGGCTATACAATGTAATACATAGGCAGTAAACAAAAGTTGAGGACAGAATTATTATGTGGAAAACAAAAGATGACAAGATGACCAAAACTTGTAGAATGTATCGACACTATTACTTATGAGAGCTGTGTATTTGTTAAAAGTTGACGGATAACAAATTAACAGTAGGCACACTTTATGGACAGAAGCTTCGTTAATGTGCTGTGATAGCAACGTTTCGGTGTAAGACCTTTCTCAATAATGAATAATGATTACACAGATTATTATATGTGGTAGGTGAACGACTAACAGCTACAAGATCAGTGGGATGTACTTTGTCATAAATGATTCAAGGCTGAAGGTAAAAGACCCCCGTCATTAAACAGACGGCATCCTCTCTGTTTGCCACACTTGCATGATCCATCCTCTCTGTTAAGGTGTTCTACTGGACCCACATGTTGTACGTGGTCTTCTGGATCTTATTAATTCTTCACGGGCGCCATTTCTGGAAGTGGTTCCTGGTTCCTGGCGTTGTATTTATAGTGGAAAAATTGTCGAGGTCTAAACTGATCGGGAAAATGACTTACGGGAACACCTTCATAACAGAAATCAACCTTCTACCATCTCAGGTAAGATTTTAGACCTGCATGGTCCTTATTTTTAGATTAAAAGAATGTGAATATCTGATAATGAAATATAAAGGGTTTCAGATAGTTTGTCATCATAAGTGTCCGGAGAATTATATTTGAAAATAAAGATTGTCCTATCAAAACGTTACTATTTTCGTGTAAAAAAGAATCGTGTGCTGATGCCATTTGTATGGAATACTACATGGGACATTGTCGCGTTGTCGCCTTTCTAAAAACAAGCAAAGGGTGTCAAAATTAGCCAAAGCGCAACATTGCGACAATGTGACATTTTGGCCATTTGTTGCATTGTAGCGCTTAGATAATTTTTTTATTGTATTTTAAGTGTTGTTTCTTGCTGTTAAAAAACCCCGTTTGGTTTATAACAACCGACACAGACAATAACGATATATGAACTAATTTGCATTGTCGCAATGTCGCGCTTTGGCTAATTTTGACACTCTTAGCTTCGTTTTGGAAGGGCAACAATGCGCAATGCGACAACACGATATGTGGTTGAAAACAAATCGTTCATCGTTGTAGTACTCAATACATTTGACTTTATTAAAAGGTTTGCAATGCTGACTCTTGGTCATGTTCCCATGTTACAGGTGACCCATCTTGTTATAACAAAACCTACCAGTATGAAGTTCCGACCCGGGGACTACCTCTTCCTACAGATCCCAGACATCGCTAAATATGAGTGGCATCCCTTCACCATCAGCAGCGCACCCGAACTAGACGGTAGGTCTCTCCATGAAGTAGTGGCCCGAACTAAAAGGTAGGTCTCCCCATGAAGTAGTGCCCCCGAATTTGACGGTAGGTCTCCTTATGAAGAAGTGACCCCAAACTAGATGGTAGGTCACCCCATGAAGTATCGCCCCCGATCTAGACGGTAGGTCTCCTTGTGAAGAAGTGCCCCCAATCTAGTCGGTAGGTCACCCCATGAAGTAGTGCCCCCGAACTTGGTGGTAGGTCTCTCCATGAATAAGTGCCCCTAAAACTAAACGGTAGGGCACCTCATGAAGTAGTGGCTCCGAACTAGATGGTAGGTCTCTCCATGAAGTAGTGCCCCCGAACTTGGCGGTAGGTCTCCCCAGGAAGCAGCGCACCCGAACTTGGCGGTAGGTCTCCCCATGAAGAAGGGCCCCCGAACCTGAAGGTAGGTCTCTCCATGAAGCAGCGCCCTCGAATTTGAAATTGGGTCCTTCTATACATGAAGCAGTGTCTCCAGTGAGGAACGTGGGTTGGAGTACAACACAAATGTTAATTCTCTCCCTGTGTTTCGTCATATCGAGTTATTGGCTCGCTGTTAACAGTATGACAGCTGCATTGCTGGCCTTGAGGTAGCCTAAACTGGGATGTGTTTCACAGTTACAGTCAACAACCTGATACTGCTTCGAGAAACTGGACCCCATAAACGATGCGCAACATTTGGTTCCCCGGTGAAAATCCGGGTGAGAATTGGTCTTCAGCAACCCACGTCGTAAGTGGCGACTAACAGGATCGGGTGGACAGGGTCGATTACATACAGACCGCCGTCCTACAGGTTGAATATTGTAGAGATTGGCGTTGAACAACAAACAAACACAAGGTAGAAGGTGCATATTATGTTTGCCCTGCCCTATATTCCCCGAGTCAAGATACTCCTGTGTTATTTTACACCTACGTTTTCAATACAGACAGGTTATGGGTACACGTGCGATCGGCCGGACATTGGACCAACAGGCTGTACGAGTACTTCAGTTCCTTTGAGGAAGAAAGAGACGCCGAAATAGAGGAGTCCAAAGGACACGTTAACGCTGGTAGGGGTTCTGTTGTTCTTTGTCGCTTGAGATACACATGTGAGTGAGTGAGTATGGTTTTACGCCACTTTTAGCAATATTCCAGCAATATCACGGCAGGAAAAAACAGAAATGGCTTCACACATCGTACCCATGTCGGGAAGAATCAAACCCGGGTCTTCGGCGTGACGAGCGAACACTTTAACCACTTGGCTACCCGACCATCCAGATACACATGTACAGCAACAATCCACCTATTTCACAATTACATATTCGAGTCGGAACTACACAGTCCATTGACTGATACCCAGGGTCAACCGAGGCTGACAAACCCTATACACTCAGACGTTTCGCAGAAGTCCCCAACTGTTGCTCTGTGTATTCTAAAGAGAACTCTGTTCAATCCAGATATAGGAAGAACAGTAAAACCAACTTTTGATCAACGTTAGACAATCTCATTAAATTCAGTTCTTTTTTCCTGATACGATAGCTATTTGCATGAAGATAACCCCTAAATAGAAGGCTGCGCACAGTGACCCCTGAGTGGATGTTCGCCGCCCAATCTAAACTAAAGATGGTGGGCTCTTGAGCCTGCTCCCATACAATTCGGCTTTGTTCCTTACCTTTAGAAAATTCGATTTGATGAAAAGGAAACTGACACAGAATACATATATCCGGTCTCTTTCTGGTGTCGATTATTGGAAAGTGTATCTGTTGCGAGGGATATGAGATCTTCGGAGCAGAGGAGGGGAATGAGTTTTAACGCCACTTTGAAGAGTATTCATGTTATATCGCGGCGTGTCGGCTTAATATGGAAGGACAGTGATGCAGGTCTCAGATGTTTACCTTTATGGTGAAACCCACGAGCACGGCTATGGTGCTGGCACACCTAACAACAGAATGAAGAGGCATTTAAACCCACAGTAAAAGGCTTATGGCTTGTCCAAGACATGTAACTCTGCACCCGTGGCACCTGTCATACAGAGAGGTGTTGTATCTGCAAAAAAATCTGATTGTAATGTGATCGGACGTCATTGTTCCTGCGAATAACAAACTAGTTTACTGTATAAGATGGTGCCATGTTTGCAGGCTTCCGCGATCCAGTTCATCTCTTGAGCTATAAACAGGAAGGAAGAGCTGAAACTGATGCTTCAGACTCTGGCAAGGTTGACATCCCCAAGCACTGCTTCAAGGTAAGTTGGGGTTGTTATTGCCATGTTTTGGAAAATTGTGATTCCAAATCAGTTTACTGATACAGTTCAAGCACATTAACTTCAATGTGTCATCAAGGGTACACCAGGGTCATGTCTACCGCATTTGCTGATGTCATTTCGTTCTCCGTTCCAGTCGAGACGGGCGACCTATTTACACGGTGGGAAGAAGCAGAAGAAGGTACATGTGCGGGTAAGTGGTTTCCCAAGATCACCCAGTCAGATCACGGAGAGTGTTTCCGTACCTATCACAGTTACCCAAGATAATCCGGTCAGATCACGGAGATTGTTTCCATACCTATAACAGTTACCCAGGATAATCCGGTCAGATCACAGAGATTGTTTCCATACCTATAACAGTTACCCAGGATAATCCGGTAAGATCACGGAGATTGTTTCCATACCTATAACAGTAACCAAAGATAATCCAGTCAGATCACGGAGAGTGTTTCCGTACCTATCACAGTTATCCAAGATAATCCAGTCAGATCACGGAGAGTGTTTCCGTACCTATCACAGTTACCCAAGATAATCCAGTCAGATCACGGAGAGTGTTTCCGTACCTACATGTATACCAGTTACCCAAGATAATCCGGTCAGATCACGGAGAGTGTTTCCATACCTATAACAGTTACCCAAGATAATTCGGTCAGATCACAGAGAGTGTTTCCGTACCTACATGTATACCAGTTACCCAAGATAATCCGGTCAGATCACAGAGAGTGTTTCCATACCTATCACAGTTACCCAAGATAATCCAGTCAGATCACGGAGAGTGTTTCCGTACCTATCACAGTTACCCAAGATAAGCCAGTCAGATCACGGAGAGTGTTTCCGTACCTATAACAGTTACCCAAGATATCCCAGTCAGATAACTGAGAGTGTTTCCGTGCCTGTCAGAGTTACCCAAGATATCCCAGTCAGATCACGGAGAGTGTTTCCGTACCTATCACAGTTACCCAAGATAAGCCAGTCAGATCACGGAGAGTGTTTCCGTACCTACTTGTATACCAGTTACCCAAGATAATCCAGTCAGATCACGGAGAGTGTTTCCGTACCTACATGTATACCAGTTACCCAAGATAATCCGGTCAGATCACGGAGAGTGTTTCCGTACCTACATGTATACCAGTTACCCAAGATAATCCAGTCAGATCACGGAGAGTGTTTCCGTACCTATCACAGTTACCCAAGATAAGCCAGTCAGATCACGGAGAGTGTTTCCGTACCTATAACAGTTACCCAAGATATCCCAGTCAGATCACGGAGAGTGTTTCCGTGCCTGTCAGAGTTACCCAAGATATCCCAGTCAGATCACGGAGAGTGTTTCCGTACCTATCACAGTTACCCACGATAATCCAGTCAGATCACGGAGAGTGTTTCCATACCTATAACAGTTACCCAAGATAATTCGGTCAGATCACAGAGAGTGTTTCCGTACCCACATGTATACCAGTTACCCAAGATAATCCGGTCAGATCACAGAGAGTGTTTCCATACCTATCACAGTTACCCAAGATAAGCCAGTCAGATCACGGAGAGTGTTTCCGTACCTATAACAGTTACTCAAGATATCCCAGTCAGATCACGGAGAGTGTTTCCGTGCCTGTCAGAGTTACCCAAGATACCCCAGTCAGATCACGGAGAGTGTTTCCATACCTATAACAGTTACCCAAGATATCCCAGTCAGATCACGGAGAGTGTTTCCGTACCTATCACAGTTACCCAAGATAATCCGGTCAGATCACGGAGAGTGTTTCCGTACCTATCACAGTTACCCAAGATAATCCAGTCAGATCACGGAGAGTGTTTCCGTACCTATCACAGTTACCCAAGATAAGCCAGTCAGATCACGGAGAGTGTTTCCGTGCCTGTCAGAGTTACCCAAGATATCCCAGTCAGATCACGGAGAGTGTTTCCATACCTATACCAGTTACCCAAGATATCCCAGTCAGATCACGGAGAGTGTTTCCGTGCCTGTCAGAGTTACCCAAGATAAATCAGTCAGATCACGGAGAGTGTTTCCATACCTATAACAGTTACCCAAGATATCCCAGTCAGATCACGGAGAGTGTTTCCGTAGCTATCACAGTTACCCAAGATAATCCAGTCAGATCACGGAGAGTGTTTCCGTACCTATCACAGTTACCCAAGATAATCCGGTCAGATCACGGAGAGTGTTTCCGTACCTATCACAGTTACCCAAGATAATCCAGTCAGATCACGGAGAGTGTTTCCATACCTATCACAGTTAACCAAGATAATCCAGTCAGATCACGGAGAGTGTTTCCGTACCTATCACAGATACCCAATTTAACTATTTCAGGTCACTGATAGTGTTGTCCACACCTATAAGTAGTTAACCAAGATAATCCAGTCAGTTCACGGAGAGTGTTTCCGTACCTATCACAGATACCCAATACAAGACAATCATATCAGGGAAAGTGTTGTCTGCTCCCATAGTAAGTGAGTATGGTTTTACGCCGCTTTTAGCAATATTCCAGCAATATCACGGCGGGGGACACCGGAAATGGGCTTCACACATTGTACCCATGTCGGGAATCGAACCCGGGTCTTCGGCGTGACGAGCGAACGCTTTAACCACTAGGCTACCCGACCGCCCCTTCTGTTCCCATAGCAGTAACCCAAAATAACTCAATCCGGTCACTGATAGTGTTGTCCATACCTATAACAGTTACCCACTACAACTCAGTAATATCACGGATAGTGTTGTCCGTAGTGACGGGGGCACGGGTGGCCAGTCGTCTAAGGCGCCGCGATTCGCTCTTCAGAGTTGCGACCCTTAGGCACGCCAGAAACCTATGATTGTGGGTTCGAATCACGGTTCGCCCCGATTATGTTTATAGGTTTGTCAGCACCATACCCGTGCTCGTGGGTTTCACCAAAGTAGTAAACGTCTGAGACCTCAATAACTTCGGGCTTGCCTCACACATTAAGCTGGCACACAGTGATATAACTGCATTAATGTTAAAAGCGACGTTAAACCCAACTCACTCACTCACTTTAACGTGAAAGAGACCCCAGGTTAAACAGTCTGGCGAGTTTGAATGCCATTTTTTTTCTTTGAACACACGATGCCATTTAGAGAGTGGTTAAATGCAACAAATGTTATATTTGAGATAACACCGCCTCAGTAAAGTACAGATTATCGTTCTTTTTGGGGTTGATTCCCGACCAGGCGATTAGATGCCTCACTCTGGCAGTGTCAGTTTGAGTAACGGACGGGAGTCACCTCCCCTCCCCCCCCCCCCAAAAAAAAAAAAAAAAAAAGAAAAAAAAGAAAAGAAAAAAAAGTGTTATCCCAAATATAACATTTGTTACATTTGACCGTTTTTTAAATGGCATTGTGTTCATAACTTTCGGCCATTGGATCCGTGCCAATTTTCACTTGTGAGAGGGGTACACAAAGTATGTGATCTAGAATACCAGTAGTCGCACTTTCATTTTTGTGGAAGCCTCGGTGGCTGAGTGGGTTAGATCGCTGACTTTGTGTGCTGGCGATTAGGTGTCTCACTCTGGCAGTGTGTGTAGGAATCCCGGACGGGAATGAACCTCAAACAGAATTAGAATCTGTACTTTACAAAGAAAGTGTCATCCAAAAAATAGTAAACAACGTTTATAACGAAAACGCTCATAACGAACTGACAGATAAAACGAACTTATTTTTTGGTCCCGACCATTTGCTGTACATATACTGTATATGCTTATAACGAACTACGGTTATAACGAACTAAAATTAGTGGCCCCCTTGAGATCGTTTTAACCGTAGTTTACTGTATAACATTTGTTACAAATGTTTCTTTTGCAGTGTTTCATCGACGGACCCTACGGAACCTCGTCTAGGGCACTATTTGAAACCGAGCACGCTGTTCTGATTGGCTCCGGTATCGGCGTGACTCCCTACGCCTCCATCCTACAGAGCATCATGTACAGGTTCAAGGCCTACAAGAGATGCTGCCCCAGCTGTACCCACTCCTGGTATGATGAAGTACCGCCACACGTCATGAACCTCAAGAAGGTCAGTGATTGGGGGTGGACCGTTTTAGATCATTATTATGATGATACTGTTAAAAGCGGCGTTAAACCCAACTCACTCACTCACTCAATGGGGAAACTAACGTAAACCGAAATATCCTCTGATTTCTAGCAGAAGAAACTTACTGATTAAGCGGAGATAATTAAGGGAGGTAACTTTTTACAGAAAATATTACCCTTCAAAGTGTTTTGTTCACTGCAGTGAAATACCACAGGTTATATTCACTACTATGAAAATATCATTTTCCCAACTTTAGAAACTCAGTCTTTAACACTGAAGCATATGGCGAATATATTTCTTCCATTGGTGTCGTTACAAGGTCGACTTCATCTGGATCAACCGTGACCAGAAGTCCTTCGAGTGGTTCGTCAGTCTTCTCACTCAGTTAGAAATGGAACAGACTATGGAAGGCGGGCTGGGCAACATGATCGAGATGCACATGTATATGACTGCAGCACTTAACAAGACGGACCTGAAAGGAATCGGCTTACAGATGGCCCTTGACCTCATCCATAAGAAACAAGACAAAGACCTGTTGACGGGGCTGAAAACACGCACACAGCCAGGGAGGCCCGACTTCAGAAAGGTAGTGAGACGTGAAATTAAATATTTATACGTCAATGGAGACAAACTAAAGTGTAATAACTTCATGTGCAGTATGTTTTCTGAAAGACATGTTTGAAAATAACATACTTAGACGTTTACCACTTCGGTTGCACGGGTATGGTGCTGACAAACCTAGAAACATAATCGGGGCGAACTGGGATGGGTGGGGAGGGGGGAGACGGACTTCTGCCGCCGTAACCTAGCCATAACAACAAACAAACGAGACAAATATAGATATTTAAGTTTGTGCTTAACATGGACGAGAGCTAGAAATTGATAGCTTCTCGACAGACCCAGTGCTGGTATGTTATGTGGCATTCACCCTCCACTCTAACAGGATGTACAATGTGCTCATCAACTTTTAAGCTCCTGACATTCAATGACTTGAGAGTTCCTTTAACTCCCGTGGGTCTCTTGAAGACTGACGTCAGGGATCGTGAGGCGACTGACGGAATCGGGTGGTCAGGCTCCCCCACTTGTTGATGCATGTCATCGTATTCCAATAGCGTAGATCGATGCTCATGATGTCAATCACTGGATTGGATTATTTACAAAGCTGGAATATTGCTGCGTGTGGCGTTAAAAAACAAACAAACAAACTACATGTTAGTCTATTGATGACGTTTATTTTTTGTTATTCATTGTCACAAAGTCAAATTGGTAGTTGTCTCCTTACGTATGCCTTTTATAATCTGTGGCATTGTTATTTTTCAGCTGTTCAGAACGATTGCCGCGGAGAAGAAGGGACACGTTAACGTCTTCTTCTGCGGAAACCCCACCCTGGCCAAAACTATCAAACAACAGTGTGAATCCTTTGGGTTCGGCTTTTCAAAGGAGAATTTCTAAATGGACATTCCCAAGCAGCTGTAGACGAAACGACATGACGTCACGTGATATCTTTTCAGTATAAACCGAGGCATTCGTGACCAACTCGTGTTATTCCGGGACAAGCCGAATAGCGACTCGTGCCTCTCTCGTGGCCATTTTTGCGACCGGGTTCCGTCTTAGCGCAAACGGGCATACCTAAAACAATTGTCAACTTGTTACATAATGGGTCACATATATTTTCGCATGTTCTTTATATATTTCAGATGCAATTTAAAGCACATCGGAACATGCGGTATTGTACAGTATGATTAAACACATTTAACTGTGTCCTGGGTATATATTTAGATGCAAGACATATGTATAATCAAAAATTATTTCTGAGGGATTCTTTGACGAAGAACTTGAAATCATACGCGCATTTTGATTGGTTTGTCGTATTTTCGCACATAACATCCATCGATAGGGGGACAAGTCTTCTTGCAGGTTACGGAAAGGGGCGAGTGGTGACGAATGTAAACCGAGGGTCAAAATAAGTATTTAGTTTAATTTTTGTAATTTTTTTAGAATTGAAAAGTGAAATAACTGTTCAATTTGATTACGAATATTTAACCATTACTTATTCCTGCAACAGCAATTTTAAAAGTAATCTGTGGCTGGGTAATTTTGTGTAAAAATACGTGTGTTCAGTTACGACTTGGATATGAAATGAATTTGCATCCACATGACTCCTACAATGTTCGAAATGTTTTAATTTTGTGCCGAAAAATGAAGATTTATTGATTTTTAAGATAACATATCTAAGATACCAATCAGCATAATTATGAAAAAAACCCAATTTCATCTTTAAAAGTTTCTAATATAATTATATTTAAAAAATAGAATTTCGTGGGAGTGTTGACTAAGTGCCAGTTCAGTTCATGTCTTACTTGATATTTTCAACTGGTTCGCTGAAGAGCTATTCTAACCCGGATCTTCACGTGTTATTAATAACTTTTCCCCATCAGATTACCACACGCTATCAACTTGAATCACGTGTTGTCAGCACTGTAACAACGCACTGTAACCTTTTTTATTCTCTGCAATTTGACCTACACTGCCTGGCAAAGGAAAGTATACCCTTGAAAATTGGATTTAACCAGCAATAAATAAACCTTATCAAAAGGTTACTTGGCTGAAAACCGTCCCCGAAACTTTGAACGTAAGGTCTAATATTGCCTATGATATCTGTGTCATATATACTCACCGCCAAAAGAAACGCGAACCACAGAAACATTTAGAGAAGTATGTACGTTAATAAGAGATGTTTCCAATGTGTATCATTTAATGAAAAAACTAACAATCAGTCAAGTGTTACCGAAGAGTGTCTTTATTTTTACCACAATATGCTGCACGTGATTTCCAAACTTTACACGCAAATGGTGCATCTCGAGTTATGGATCTATGACGTCACATGTGATGTGATCATGAGCGTCGGTTAACACAACATACCAGTATGTTCGTTTGTGCATCGAATGAAGCTAATGTCTCTTGAATATGAGTAAGTCTTCATATATTAACCAACATGTATGGTATTCGCGTTTTTTTTGTCGATGAGCATATATTACCATCGAATAGCCATTTCTTGTTTGTTTCATTTTAGCCACTATCAGACATTTTGCCTGGCAGTTTATATCACCATGTCCTGCCTCGATGTTGATCACTTGCGTGAGAAAGGTATAGACATCAGTTACGAAACGTCGCGTTGAAAAAAAAGTGCTATCACCCCTATCAATAACAAGTAATTGAATATTTTGCCGGCCGACAGTGTCTTGCGTATATAAAATGATTAGATCCCCAAAATACCATATTCGCGAAGTAAAGGAGTTACATATATGTAACTGACAATAAAAGTTTTGTTTCCACCCTTGCCGACTACGCTCGAATGTCCAGGCTCGATCGTTGCGCCACCAGTGGCTATACCGAGGTATGTCCCTCCTATTGACCAATCAGATTCCATCACTTGCGGCAACCAGTCAAGACGATCTGATCGATAATGAAGATCTATATTGTAATAAAACGGGTCTTACCCCGCGAAGTGCATCAGATCACTTGAGCACCTTGATTAAATACATGAAAATATTTGCAAAATATCTGTCGACGCCCAGTTGACGGTACAAATGCTTTTCAAATCCTGCAGTCGACCGAAATGTGCACGTTGAAGTCCATGTTGTTTACGAACCGGATGTCTAGTTCGTTTCGCGATTTTGATTGGAAAATGCATGGACTCGTTAGTCCAGCCAAAATGTAACTCTGGACTTCTTTCCTAGTTCGGCAAGGGTGGAAACTGGACTTTTATAAAGAGAATCTCACCCGAGTGTCTTTTGATATCAAATATATCAACACGAGTTGATAAAAGTGGAAACATTCCGAGGCTTGCCGAGGATTTTTGCCACTTTTATCAACGAGTGTTGATATATTTGATATCAAAAGACACGGGGTGAGATTTAATTTATCATCCAATATCATTCTTCCAACTTTTGCAATTTGTAGGCAGTAATTAGCAGTGTCTTCAGTGTAAAAAGTACTGCTAACAGCTTCAGTAGTGATGTCATTTAATTGTGACGTCACAATGGTCTGCAAAGCATTGTGATGTAATTTTATTGCATCGATATCTACAGTGTAGATATAGCTTGATCTAATCCATGCGATATCGCCTGTAGGAGCCAGTTTTGGATGATAAAGTCAGTTTAACTACCTTGCCTCGGGAAGATGAAAAATATAGTCGATTGGAAAATGACACGTCAGCTGTGTCTTGCGTCCAGCTGCCCTGGTGTGTTGCTCTGTGAACACTTGCCTGACAGGCGGTGGGATAGCGCTGTGGATAAAGCGTTGGCTCGTCAGGCCAAAAGCCCGGTTCAATTCCAAGGTGGGTACAATGTTTGAGGCCCATGTTGCTGGAATATTGCCGAACGCGGCGTAAAACAATAATCACTCACTTGCCATGGCTAACCCACATGTTTCTGTTTGTGTGCAGCATGTGTTGTCTTACTGCAAATGTTACTTATTCAAATGTTTTACACATTTTGTTTTCTGTTTTCATTCTAACCAACAACAACCGAAGCACAATCATTTTGTATCACGTTGTTATTAATGTTAATGAAAGTGACACTAATTTTTGTTTGTTTTTCGTTCATCTGACATTCTTGAAGGAGAGAGCGGGTGGCGGGTATCATACGCCGATACGGCACCTGTATCACTTTAAACCGAATATGAGTGAGTGAGTGAGTATGGTTTTACGCCGCTTGTAGCAATATTCCAGCAATATCACGGCGGGGGACACCAGAAATGGACTTTACATATTGTACCCATGTGGGAATCGAACCGGTCTTCGGCGTGACGAGGGAACGCTTAAACCACAAGGCTACCCGACCGAATACGGGGCAGTGGAGTAGCGTAGTGGTTAAAGGTTCTCTAGTCACGCCGAAAACTAGGCTTTGATAACCTTTACGGGTCAATGTTTGAAGCTAGTTTGCGGTGTGAGCATTGCTAAACGCAGAGCTTAACAAGACTGCCTAAGACCGCCTCCGTGGTCTAGTGGTAGAGGGTCCGCCCGGAAAGCGGAAGGTCCGGGGTTCGATCCCCGGCCGCGTCTTACCAAAAGACGTTTAAAGATGGTACTTGTTGTTACCCTGTCTGGCGCTCGTCATTAAGGGGCTAAAACAAGGACTGGTCTGCTCGGAGTCAGTATACTGTGTCTGAGTGGGGTATTCATGTTAAACTGCGGCATGGTATCTCAGTGAGGTAGCACTATAAATCGGCATCAGTCCGGACTAGTACAAGCAGCCACACACACACGCACACACACACACACACACACACACACACACACACACGTGCATGCACTTCGCTATATAAGTGCAATAATCTTGGACGCGACGTTAAACCCAATTTTACCTCAACTCACAAGACTTCCTAACTCACAGTACCCGTATCTTGACAAAACACAGGTGGTCGATACCAGGTACACCAATCAACGCTGGATGTATAACTTCTTTCAGAGGCATTTAGAAGTTGGAGTACTAAGTAAGGATAAGCTGTATAGATGAACAACTTCTTTATTACAATTCGGAGCGACGTTTCGGTGTAGGTTCTAACACCGTTATCAAGTGATGTACAGAGTATGGTTGACAAGCTTATGTACAGGTATCAGGCAGTGTTTATACAGTTGATCAACATCAAAAGACTCCAATGAACCGTGACCATGGCTATTACATACCCCCTATATACCATCAACTCATCAAAGGCGCCAATCAGTCATAACCCTTTTGTTTATAATACTGGTTTCATCTGTTAAGATGTTTACCTTATATCGCCCCTTTGGGTACATAACAGGCAAGGCGACTATGCTTGTCGTAAAGGGCGACTAACTCGATTTTTTCCAGACTACCGTCATATAGCTGGAATATTACTTAGTGCGGCGTTAAACAACAAATAAACAAACAAACATAACAGGCTTCTCCACCCCAGTGCAACTTCAGAACATGCTAACATAATTATCCACTGAATACCTGCGGTTTTATTTTGATGAGATTTGTAAGGCTAGTCATGGAAGGGCGGTTTCTCCTTTTTCAAAACTGTTCGTGAAACATTTTAAAAGCGGATGAAGAATATAATGTGTATTTAATTTACAAAGCGGCGCACACTGAGCAATGGAGCATCAGCACGTCACTCTTTGTAACATTGACATTCGTTCAAGACGACCTACTATTTGATATGTTAGGTTTTTCGAAAACATTGATATGAACGCAATTGCAGTTCACTGGGAGTACAAGTGTGCGGAGAGTAGTATACCTGATAATCACTGTCCAGACAAACCAATGTCGTGATCAGCAAAGATTATACATCCGAAACCCAGTCAAATCACCCCCAGAATATGACCCCCCGATCCCCTTTGTTGGTTTTTTCCACATACGTGGATAGTGGGGAATTATTCTATTCCGGAGCCTACACCCAGAAGGCTGAACTGAGCCTCAGCAGTACATGATCAGTGTGTAACCTACGGTTTTTGTTTGTTTGTTTGTTGTTTAACGCCTCACTCAGCAATATCCCAGCTATATGTTGCCGGTCTGTAAATAATCGAATCTGGACCAGACAATCCAGTGATTGATATCATGAGCATCGATCTACGCAAATAGGATACGATGACATGCATCAACCAAGTCAGCGAGTCTGAACAGCAGTTCCTGTTGGTCGCCTCCTACGACAAGCACAGTCGCCCCTTACGGCAAGCTGGGTTGCTTTAAACCTATTATTACTTGCCCGTGAAGAGATCACCCGTTTAATAAACATACAGCTTTATTACACATTGTTTAATACCAAAACGCGTGCTTATGTACTCTCGGAACACGTTTCACGAACAAATATTGAAAGCTCTCAACATCCCTTGGCGTATTCAACGACATTGTGTGTGGAGATGATAGATCATTGGGAGGAGCTTATGCACACTCGATGACCCCAGCAACCTTGTTGCTAGGCTGACGTCACATGGCATTGTTTCGCCGATGGATCTTGCAACAAAATTCAACAAATTACGTCATCGGGTATTGTGACGTCATTGTAAACTTTGAGGTGCAAGGCCCCGTTCCACAAGGTGATCGTACTCTAGCGCAACGGGAGCTCGTTTAGTATTCTATATTTATCTACCCGGATCTCACCCACGGAGTGAAGAGGCGTACAGGGTTGACCTCATCTTGTTCGTTAAGATTGGATCACAGTGACCTCGCTAAGCTTCACTCACAAACAATAAAGATATTTTTACGAGCTTAACACTTGATGAAACCAACCAACGATCATCACAAGTATCAAATTCGCTTTGCATTCTATATTAGTTCCACTGACGTCTACGACAGACATAAAATAATCGAGGTATACCCATTTACCCGGTACGACTACAGATAGATCGTGGTCCCCATGAGAGTACCGAATTGAAGTCATTTAAACTTATATGAAAATGAATAAGAGAACACTTAGTTTTAGAAACAGTAAAATGATATGTTATCACGGGTTCCCAGCCTTGGCTACAAAATACGCGTTGGCAATATCCACACAAACACATCTCAACATTTGCTTCTGATTCTGATGTGTTGAATTCGTATGCGCGCTATTTTCAAATGTAGGATAGCTTATTTCTTTATAGGGGGCACGGGTGGCCCAATCGTCTAAGGCTACGCAATTCGCTGTGCAGAGTTGCGTCCCTTGGGCACGCCAGAAACCTATGATTGTGGGTTCGAATCCCGGTTCGCCCCGATTATGTTTCTAGGTTTGTCAGCACCATACCCGCGCTCGTGATTTTCACCAAAGTGGTAAACGTCTGAGACCTGCATCACTTCGGGCTTTCCTCCTACATTAAGCTGACCCGCCGTGATATAATTGGAATAAACGTACACGACTGTGTGTCAGATCACTCAAAGTGGACAGTTACGATACATACATATACGGGAAAGGGTGGTTGACTTCTGATTTATGGCCCAAAACATCCCAAATATGAACGCTACTATTCGCTTTTGCTCTGTAGCGCAAAACGCTGTGTGTAGATCACCCTTGTTTTGATGCTGACCTTGGCCTTTGTTGGAAGCTGCCAGTCACACAATAGGCAATCAGGCTCGAGTCTGTTGATTTTATTTCTTCACTATTCGATCGTACAGTTAACATGGACTTTTCCAGAAGTTGATTGACAGGATATCAATTCAAGGAAACTGGTGAACAGAACTTCCGAAATTTAAAGAGCGGCACTGATTGAGTTTTTCTTTTTTCTTTCGTTTTCTGGGATATAAAGTGCTACTGTACTGCCTGAACAAACAATAGCAGGAACATTTTATTACTGCATAGAAATTTCGACAATGTGATTTTTTTTATGTATGTACACCACGGAGAGTTTTCGTAACAATGGAAGGTATCGAGCACGAGTGTAGTGCATGCATTCTCAATGTATCAGGGAGTGCATCAGTTTATATCCGGGTAGTTGCTGACTCAGAGTTCAGGCTCGTGGGCAAACTCAAATTACATCGCTGTTGACCTTGAAGATGACACAGCCCCTTTTCACTCTGCAGCTGGGAACTCTTCACAACGATATAGGGAGTTTCACCATGGCCAGACAATCCACACATACAGGAGGCCAGACTATCTACACATACATGAGGCCAGACATTCTACACATACAGGAGGCCAAAAAACCTACACATACAGGAGGCCAAAAAACCTACACATACAGGAGGCCAGACAACCTACACAAACATTAGGCCAGACATTCTACACATTATACAGGAGGCCAGACAACCTACACATACAGGAGGCCAGACAATCTACACATACAGGAGGCCAGACAACCTACACATACAGGAGGCCAGACAATCTACACATACAGGGGCCCAGACAATTTACACATAGAGGAGGCCAGACAATCTACACATACAGGAGGCCAGACAACCTACACATACAGGAGGACAGACAATCTAGACACACAGGAGGCCAGACAACCTACACATACAGGAGGCCAGACAATCTACACATACAGGAGGCCAGACAACCTACACATACAGGAGGCCAGACAATCTACACATACAGGGGCCCAGACAATTTACACATAGAGGAGGCCAGACAATCTACACATACAGGAGGCCAGACAACCTACACATACAGGAGGACAGATAATCTACACACACAGCAGACCAGACAACCTACACATACAGGAGGACAGACAACCTACACATACAGGAGGCCAGACAACCTACACATACAGGGGCCCAGACAATCTACACATACAGGAGGCCAGACAACCTACACATACAGGAGGCCAGACAATCTACACATACAGGAGGCCAGACAACCTACACATACAGGAGGCCAGACAATCTACACATACAGGAGGCAAGACAATCCACACATACAGGAGGCCAGACAATCTACACATACAGGAGGCCAGACAACCTACACATACAGGAGGCCAGACAACCTACACATACAGGAGGACAGACAATCTACACATACAGGAGGCCAGACAACCTACACATACAGGGGCCCAGACAACCTACACATACAGGAGGACAGACAATCTACACACACAGGAGGCCAGACAACTTACACATACAGGAGGCCAGACATTCTACACATACAGGAGGCCAGACAATCTACACATACATTGTACATGACTTCTAGCATGATCGTCCCTTGGGCACGCCAGAAACCTATGACCATGGGTACGAATTCCGGTTATGTTTCTAGGTTTGTAAGCACCATACCTGTGCTCGTGGGTTTCACCAAAGTGGTTAACTTTCGAGACATGCATCACTTCGAGTTTTCCTCCCACATCAAGCTGACAGCCGTGGTATTGTTCGATTTTCGAGATTTCTTATGAATATTGACAGGGTCTTGTCGCTTTTTTTTAAACATCAAGGCGTCGTATCCTCGAAAATGTTCACTCCTGCTTCAACCAGCCAAGGACAGTAAGGGGGCACGGGTGGTCCAGTCCCTTGGGAACGCCAGAAACCTATTACTGAGGGTTCAAATCCCGGTTCTCCCCGATTATGTTTCTGGGTGTGTCAGCACCATACCCGTGCTCGTAGGTTTCACCGAAATGGTAAACGTCTTAGACCTGCATCACTTCGGGCTTTCCTCTCACTTTATGCTGACACGCCGCGAAATAACTGGAATACTGTTAAAAGCGGCGTTAAACCTAACTAACTCATTCACTGACCCAGGACAGTAGAGACACACTTCTAACTTGGATGTATGTGGTGACCCATTTGTGGATGAGTGAGTACGCCGCTTTTAGCAATATTCCAGCAATATCACGGCGGGGGACACCAGAAATGGGCTTCACACATTGTACCCATGTCGGGAGACCCAGTTGTAGGGAAATATACTGACATGTTGTCAAAGTAGTATGCAAAATAAACGTCAAAATGTGTATGTATGATTGTGTGCAAATGTGGAACTGCGGTAAACTGTATTTGGGCCTGAGGCTTTTCGGACAATGAGTAACCATTCATGTTTCCATTGTGACGTCACTACTAAGACGTTTTTAGTTAACAAACAAACACTTGTACGAGTGACGGATCTACCGGGAAAACAGGACATGATAGTCCCTCAGCCATTCATATTTTGTTCGACCCGTGAAGATTCCGGGATAGAATAAGTCTTCAGCACCCCGTGCTTGCCGTAAAAGGTGACTATGCTTGTCGTAAAAGGCGACTAACGGGATCGGGTGGTCAGGCTCGATGACTTGGTTGATGCATGCCATCGATCCCAATTGCGTGGATCGATGATCATGATATTAATCACTGGATTGTCTGGCCCAGACTGGATTATTTACAGACCCCCGTCATATAGATGGAATATTGCTGAGTGCGGCGTTAATCAACAAACCAACCAATCATATTTTGTTCACCACCGTTTTGCCGTTTACGCCCAATGGAAACCGTTTCGGCAGATTATCGCAACTACACGTGCAATAAGGGTACATGTATATAAACAATACGGACAGAATGTCAGACACTCACAGTGATAGAAAAAAAACCCATCATAGAAATGCCACGACGGATGCCTGACCAAAGTGAACGTGCACTTGGTATGATACAGATGGGAGCCACTCATGCCCACATTGCAGGAGCAACTAATGGTTGCTCCCATGCTGCTGTAACTAACCTGATGAAACGTTACAGACAGACCGGGTAGACACCAGACAGTCCAGGAACAGGCAGACTAAGGGTAACTTCTCCCAATGAAGACCAGTACTTGCGTACTTTGCATCCCTGGAATCGATATCTGAAAGTGACGTGGTCAGCGACGAATGGATAATCGAATTCGACAGCGAGACCAGGGAGTTCACTGACTACAAAAGTCTAGTTTCCATCCTTGTCGAACTACGCTGGAATTTCCTGGCTCGATCCTGGCACCAGTGGCTTTTACGAGTTATGTCCCTTCTATATCCCTCCTACTGACTAATCAGGTTTCACCGCTCCTATCACTTGCATTTGCTTTAAACAAAATAGTGGCGCCCAGTGAAGACGATCTGTTCGATAATCAAGATCTTTATTGCAATATAACGGGTCTTTCTATGCGAATTGCATCTAATCACGTAAAGACCTTGATTAAAATCATGTAAAGATTTGGAAAACGGTACAAATGCTATGCAAATCCTGCAGTTGACCGAAATCTACACGTCAGTTTACAAATCGCATGTCTTTATTTTATTACGCAATTTTGATTGGACAATGCCGTTAGTCCAGCTAAACTATAACTCCATTATTCCAGCCTTGTTCGGCAAGGGTAGAAACCGGACTTAAATAGTCAGTTAACATCCTGGCTTCGGGAAGATGTACAGCGACGACATCCTCCAATCGATCATTACAACATCATCATAGTAGCAACATCACAATAGGAACTCCCCAGTATCATCCACACAGTAGCAGCACCACAGTTTCATCGCCACAAGCAACGTCACAGTAGCAACAATACAGTATCATCGACACAGAACCAACATGAGAGAAGCAACGCCACAGTATCACCCACACAGAAGCAACATCATAATAGCAACGCCACAGTATCATCCACACAGAACCAACATGAGAGAAGCAACGCCAAAGTATCACCCACACAGAAGCGACGTCGCAGTAGCAACGACACAGTATCATCCACACAGAAGCGACATCACAATAGCAATGCCACAGTATCACCCACACAGAACCAACATGAGAGAAGCAACGCCAAAGTATCACCCACACAGAAGCGACATCTCAATAGCAACGCCACAGTATCACCCACACAGAAGCGACATCACAATAACAACGCCACAGTTTCATCCACACAGAAGCGACATCACAATAGCAACGCCACAGTATCACCCACACAGAAGCGACATCACAATAGCAACGCCACAGTATCACCCACATAGAAGCGACATCACAATAGCAACGCCACAGTATCACCCACACAGAAGCGACATCACAATAGCAACGCCACAGTATCACCCACACAGAAGCGACATCACAATAGCAACGCCACAGTATTACCCACACAGAAGCGACATCACAATAGCAACGCCACAGTTTCATCCACACAGAAGCAACATCTCAATAGCAAAGCCACAATAACATCTCCATATCATAGCGGGTATATCGGGGTAGATATATTTTGGGATGAATGACAACCTTGAATAACAATGATTATTCAGTAACTGCTCCCGACAGGTCACAGATGACTGGCGCACACTTGTGTGAGACGGGTGTGTTGGGACTTCAACAGTATATAAGGGGTTTGGGGGAAACTTCTGTCACATGTGCCGCTAAAATCTCTCGAGATGGACAAGACTATAGGTGCATCTGGCAAGAATTTGGAAGTTGTTTCTGAAGCCAATGCTCAGTCACAGCAACTCACTGAGATGTCCGAAGACGTCCCTGTCAACACTGAGATGTCCGAAGACGTCCCTGTCCACACTGAGATGCAGGAAGGTGCTCCAGATGGAAGGAAGAAGGAGACGGAGACAGAGATGGAGAAAAGTGCGAATGGCAAAGAGCGCCAAGCTATGTTTCGGCACCTAAGGTATGAATCTTGATTAAAGCGACAATACCATTTCCATAATCGTACGAAATCTTTCGGTCATTCCTCAAGGAGAAAACATATCTTCGATATTATTTTGAATGTTTCAAAATGACCCGGAGGTGCCTCACGCCAAAAAAACGGCTCTAAATTGTTATGATTCAAAATATATGGATACGTAATGCTTCTCCCGTCCTATTGTTTTATGATAGAGAAGGTGAGGTGAGGTAAAATGTGGTTGCACTTATATAGCGAGGTGCATGCACGTGTGTGTGTGTGTGTGTGTGTGTGTGTGTATGGTGTGTGTGCATGCACGTGCGTGTGAGTGTGTGTGCATGCACGTGTGTGCACGTGTGTGTGTGTGTGTGTGTGTGTTTGTGTGTGGACTGGTGCAGCGTTGTGTTTGGGCGACAATATTCCTGTGTTTTGCTCATGTTTTCAATTCATTTGCATGACTAGCAGAAGTGTTTCCAGAAAGTGTCAGGAGGACCAGCAATACCCCAGACGTGGTACAACATGTTGCCAAACATTAGATGATAGTAATGTTATAACACATAATGCCATGACCAATTTGCTTAACCTTTAGCCTGCTGAATTTTTTTCACACTTTCACACTGCATAAGGCGCTCTAAAGAGGGTGGGTGATTTCAAACAGTCGGTGCCTCATTAAACAAGGGCCAATTGAAGAAATATTTTGCACATTTATTCCTGATAGAAAACTACACAATACTATATAAAAATATTTCCAATCATTCCAAGGTTAAGACCAAAGCGAACACAAAATTTGTTAATTTTCTTGAACTTACCTGAATTGCGTTATTGAAGGTTGTTTGCATTTCATGGTAGGAACCTTTTAATATCGTAACATTTGTGCAAATTGATTTCAATAATCATATCTCGGATATGTTAATTTTAATTGAGTAAAAATTCGTTTTTTTTATCGGCATATAACAGCGCGATGGTAAATTATGAACCATTTCAGTAAATTTATTATCTAAACGTTAAACAGAAAAATAACTTAATTTTCGAGGTCATCATGTCGGTTGCAGAAATACGAATATTCACGTTAATCTGACGTGTCATGTTATAAAATTTGCAGGAAACAATTAATGACTTATAAATATTCACTAATCCTAATTTCAAGCGTTTTGGTTGAATATTTACGATATACAAAGATAAACAACCCGTGTCATGATGCTAGCAGACGTCCTAAAATCAAACATGGCGCGCTTCGCCCGACCTCCGCATAACTTATTGCTATTTTAATATCAACAAAGTTTACATTGCCTTTATAAATATAACTTGGCGAAAGTTGATGATCTTCTCCATCGAAGAATGTTTTATTCGTCATATTCCGATTAATATGACGAAAGAAAAAGCAAAATAAAGATCGTGAATTCTGACAGCACTATTTCAATAAGTGCAAAGGTCACCGGATGTGATGTCACAGACAGGGGTAGTCTGCTGATAAGCTTTCGAAACAAAACAACTACAGTAAATTTTGAAATAGTTCGCCTATCACATACAGCAAAAACATAAGTCCATACACAGTATCAGTAATCACCACTAACATGAAATAAAAATGTGACTTTGACGATATAATTCGCGTATTAGTTAATTCGTTTGACCTTGCATGCTCCCGTGACCCGGAAACGGTAGACGATAAATCAACATGCCAGATGCAAGTTTCTCGGTATCTTTTATTTGAACTTCTGTTGATATTTTAGAATCACCATTCAATGTTACGGTGAATATAAATGGGACATGATTCATATTTCTGCGATGTACACGCTGATAAGTTTCACTACAACAAGTGTATCCCACGTAATACGTCTATGGATATCGTCGAGATCACCCTCAACAACAGGTGCGCGAAAATGGGCTTGAAAAAACTTGTTTCAAAATAACATCCACGCGTTGCTGAATATGATAGGGTATATATAAGCAATAAAATGCTACGTACATATTTTCGGTGTTAGTTCCACATTACATTTGGGATAGTTTTCCTTTCGGGAATACATTCATAGATTCTAGCATGATTTTAGAACAGTTTCATGATACATTAATTACAGTAACAGTACCTGTAACAGTACATGACATTTTTGTTTGTTTAATCACAAGAACCATGGTGGCACATAAGCTAGTAAGCTAGCCATATGTTTCTTAGAAAATGCTATCTCAGTCTTCTGGTTGGAATGAAAAGAAACATGCCAGTGTACATGTTTATCCTTGCCAGATGTATTTTTTTCCAGTAAGCCAATCCATTTCTTTTGTTCACCTTATGTGGTCTATTTTATACATACAGGTACTGCTTCAAACCTGTTTTTCCTTTGTATGCAATCACAGTATCACAACTTCCTCAGCTGGTGTGTATAAAAGTTCCCCTGTCATCATGAAAAAGGAATTATAAAGGAAAGTCATGTTTTCATTCAAACACATATCTGTCTTTCCTTGAATACTCTTTGTCTAAGTGCTAAAATGGCAGTGTCATAAAAAAAAAATAGAATTTCTTTTTCGTAAGGACTTTTCTTAGATAGACCTAAGTCAAACCATGTGACAAGTTAGGTAGAATTATAACTTTATAAGCCCTCATTTCTGAGGTGTCCATAATTTTCACATTTTTATATATTTTTAGGACAAAACGTGATCCGTGTAGATCCCATTGATTTACGAAAACCAGTTGAAATTTACAGTGGTGACTTTTGTACCAAAAATTTTGAGTGATTTGGTACCCAAATGGGTATGTGATTTTGTAGATCTACCTAGAATTATTTCAAAGATATACATTAATTTTGGTGTCTTAAACTTAACATAATATCACTTTCCTATCAAAACAATACATTCTAACTTAGGTTTAACCAACTTAACTGGCCTCTTCTTCAGTGACAAGACGTCAATTTTCTCTCAAAGCTAAACAATCAATTTCAAGGATCACAGTCACAATTTCTTTATGATAGCTTACCAACTTTTGCATATTTTTCCGTCATGTGTCACATGCGGTACGTGCTTCCGGTTTCAGAAATGATAGCTAAAATTGCAAGTATATTGGTGATATATAATGTATAATGATGAAATTATAAAGAAAATATCGGACTGCATGCCGCTCAACGTGAAGTGCCAAAAGTCAACAATGGCCGTTTCTGGTAGTTGTGTGCCGAGAAGTGTGGCCGAAACGTTTTTAACTCGCGATATTTTCTTTTTGAGGTATAAAATGACTGAACGTTTTGATATTGAGCAAGCTGAGCATTTATGCATGTCATACGTTATTTAAATGTTACGCAAAACCTTCTTGGTAAATAGATATGGCGAGTTTTATTTTGGGGTGTCGTTATGCTATTCGCCTGTGGAATGGGTTCGAAAGTGACACCTCTGTCGAATGGGTTCGACGTTAGCGTGCAGAGCTTTAATCGTGTATTATATATCTGGTGTTCTTTAACTTCTTTTGAGTAGTATATTATAATTCATAACAAAACCTCTTCTTCTTCTTATTTTATCGATCATGGAACTCGATCTATACTTTCTTTTGCCGCCCAGTTTAGATGTGGGATATCTCGGGGTACATGGGGTTTTATGCGTCATACGTTAGGTTTTATACCACAAGCCGGAGACAGAAACAGATCAAGTTTGAAAAGCAGGTGAAATGATGACTTCCCATAAACATATTCGGGGACCCGTGAAGATCCGGGTAGAATAGATCACCAACAACCTACATGTACGCTTGCCGTAAAAGGCGACTATGCTTGTCGTAAGAGGCGACTAACGGGGTCGGGTGGTCAGGCTCGCTGACTTGGTTGATGCATGTCATCGTATCCCAATTGCGTGGATCCATGCTCATGATATCAATCACTGGATTGTCTGGTCCAGACTCGATTATTTAGAGACTGCCGTCATATAGCTGGGATATTGCTGAGTGCGGCGTTACACAAACCAACGAACAGACATAATCATATACTGTGACGATGTTTCTTTTGGGCTCGAAATAGATTTGCTAATTTGCTATCCAGTACATGTGTTACCGCATGACCCTCATGTAATCGGGATGTGAGTGGTTGGTTGGTTGGTTGGTTGGTTAATTTACAATCAGCGCAGGCTTTGAGTGTCAAGTTATAATTAGAAACTTATGCACTATCGTGTACTCTAGCTCAGCCAATCAGAGCAGGTGTTGTGTGTCAAGTTATAATAAGGATGTCGGGCAATATCGTGTACTCAAGCTCAGCCAATCAGTGCAGGTGTTGTGTGTCATGTGATAAACAGGATGTCGGACACTATCGTGAACTCTAGCTCAGCCAATCAGAGCAGGTGTTGTGTGTCAAGTTATAATCAGGATCAAGGACACTAACATGCTTTATTCTAAAATCATTCAACCTGATGATGTTTCAGCACCATACCCGTATTGAGATACAGTATGATTATCAGGCGACTATTTATCAAGTATATCCCGCGATACAGTATGATTATCAGGCGACTATTTGTCATGAAAAAAATGCGATACATTATGATTATCAAGAGATTGTTTGTCATGTATACTGCGATACAGTATGATTATCAAGAACTTATTTGTCATGTATACTGCGATACAGTATGATAATCAAGAGATTGTTTGTCATGTATACTGCGATACAGTATGATTATCAATAAATTATTTGTCATGTATACTGCGATACAGTATGATTATCAAGAACTTATTTGTCATGTAAACTGCGATACAGTATGATTATCAAGAGATTGTTTGTCATGTATACTGCGATACAGTATGATTAATATCAAGAAATGATTTGTCATGTATACTGCGATACAGTATGATTATCAAGAGATTGTTTGTCATGTATACTGCGATACAGTATGATTATCAAGAGATTGTTTGTCATGTATACTGCGATACAGTATGATTATCAAGAGATTGTTTGTCATGCATACTGCGATACAGTATAATTATCAAGAGATTGTTTGTCATGTATACTGCGATACAGTATGATTATCAGGAGACTATTTATCGAGGATAT